ACATTGAAAAATGAAGACATCTCGCAGAATAGCTTGGTTTTCAAGCTTGCAGATAGACAGGTAGATAGACAGACAGACAGACAGGCACAGACAGAGAGAGAGATAGATAGATAGATAGACAGATAGGTAGATAGATAGATAGATAGATGGCTAGCTAGATAGATAGATAGATAGAATAGATAGATTAGATAGATTAGATAGATTAGATAGATTAGATAGATTAGATAGATAGATAGATAGATAGATAGACAGATAGATAGATAGATAGATAGACAGGGAGACAGACAGACAGACAGACAGATAGATAGATAGACAGGGAGACAGACAGACAGACAGACAGATAGATAGATAGATAATCCCTGTACGAGTTCACCGGGTCAGGTTGGGGCCTGTGATTTTCTACTAGAAAATGAATGTTGTATAAATTAGGGATCCAAGAAAATCTAGCTACAGACATCAAACCAATTTGAGGTATCCTAGAAAAATGGCAACCCCCAAGAAGTGCATTTTCGAAGCTATGGATAGCATTTTTTCTTAGAAAAACATCACCCTGCTTGAATTGCATAATGTTGAAATTACGAAATCAAAATTTTTGAAAACAACTTCCGGGGAATGGTTCTCTTTTTCTAAAGCCCAACATCCAACCCATCGAATTTTTCGAATTATTCGACGGCTGCAATGAGATGCAGCGAGATGCGGCAAGTGTTGCAAACTTGGACAGGAGAGAGATGGGACTGGATTTTAAGCATGTTTAAACAAAACAAAATGACCTACCAGTGCCTCTCTAGAAAATCAGGGACCACTAGAAAATCTATGAACGTCCTCCCAGAGATGCTAAAATTATGCTCCTGGATTTTGGGCACTTAAGCTACCAAAAAAATCAGGGTCTTCCGACTCAGAGGTCTCCAAAAGTTCTTCTGTAGAAAGTTGGGGGAACTTCGAAAGCATCATTTCAAAAAATTCGAGCTTTTCGAACGGTAGAAAATCAACCCTCCTTAGGGGGGTTAACCCCCCTGAAATCCTAGAGGAAACTCATACCGGATAGATGGATGATAGATAGATAGATAGATAGATAGATAGATAGATGGATGGATGGATGGATATATGGATAGATGGACAGATGGATAGATGGATAGATGGATAGATGGATAGATGGATGATAGATAGATAGATAGATAGATAGCTAGATAGGTAGATAGATAGATAGATAAATAAGTAGATAGGTAGATTGATAGATAGATAGATAGATAGACAGATAGACAGATAGATAGATAGACAGATAGACAGGTAGATAGGTAGATGGATAGATGGATAGATGGATAGATGGATAGTTGGATAGATGGATAGATGGATAGATGGATAGATGGATAGATGGATAGATGGAGAGATGGAGAGATGGAGAGATGGAGAGATAGATAGATAGATAGATAGATAGATAGATAGAGAGAGAGAGATAGATAGATAGATAGGGAGATAGATAGACAGACAGACAGACAGACAGATAGACAGATAGATAGGTAGACACATAGATCAGTAGGTAGGTAGGTAGATAATCAGAGAAAGATAGAGAAACAGAGAGAAAAAGAGAGAAAGAGAGAGAGAAAGAGAGGAGACCTCAAGCACCTTTCAGTCCATCAGTGGCTTCGCTCTGCCATCCCTGATTCACAACAACCAACCTCTCCTATAGGTTTCCTATTTTTGAAACTTCCGTCACCGCACAAGGCGGTACTACTGGTATGTGTATATACCTGGTTCTCCCATTGATACCTAAATTTCTGCGCGCGAGGAAAGTACGCAAAATAGGTTCGAATTTGGGGTTTGGGTCCATGCCAGCAAAATCAGGACGTTTTTGAAAAAACGTTCGTGGCAAATGGGGTTGTCTTGTTTACTTGAGAATTTATTTGGATTTATTTGGCAAATTAGGGGTCCTCCATCCCAACATCTTATCGCCAGTAAGATGAGCAGCCATTTACGAAGTCTGAGATGCTTGAACCAACAATATTTCGGAAATTCGGAGGACCGAATTCGAAAAAAGGATTGTTTTCGGAATTATGTTTGGACCCCATTTCGTAAACTTATCTATTCTTAATTTGCATTCGTTTGCGCAATTTTGTGCATGTTTGCGCGCATGTTGCGCATTTTTGCTGGCTACGTATATACATGCCACAACCAAAAAAAACAGGGAAAAAACAAAAAAACGCTCATTTTGGACTCCGAGCTTGCTGGCTCAGAGAATCCCAACACAAACAATCACAAACACACAACACAGTTGATCCAAGGGGCACCCCAAAAGAAAGGCAGGGGATGATGTGCAAACCACACCACTCCCAGAGCTCAAAAGGCTCTAAACTGGGTCAAATCGAAGAAACGCTCGAATTTCCAGAAAACGCTCGAATCAACATCCAAGCCACTGATTTTCAATTTAAGTACGCGTTTTACAAAAATGCTCGAACCGCCAGTCTATTTAAATTGAAGTGACGAAAGAGGATACGGGTGTATATATATAATATATCCCAGGACTTCGAAAGACATAGTTAAACCACGAGGTACACGAAAGACACGGTAAGACCACGACGTGCATACATCGCCAAATTAAGGTATAGATTTTATCATCATCATTCTCATGTTCATGAATCGAAACTAAACACATGTTGATCAAGTAAAGTGTATGCTTCACCATCATCATTCTCGTGTCTATACCACCAGACACACACAGGGTAGCCATTAGTCACTGTTGGCTCACGGTTGGCTCACGGTTGGCTCACGGTAAAGCCTTGACGCCAATACACAAAATCACGACGTTCGGGGGGGTCTCACGGTGTCTCACGGTTGTCTCACGGTGTGATCACGGCTGCTAAAACCACCAGCTTCCACACATGTGTGCTAAATTCAGCTAAAGGTGATATCTTTCAGAGCATCAATAACTTTGGAATAGCAGCCAGCATCATGAAATGATGAGTTATGCCTTAGATCACAAGGTAAGCATGGATTCTGGTAAAACCACGACGTTGTGCTGGATAATGGTTAAAACACGACCAGGACGTCCTGTATATATATATATGTATGTATGTATGTATGTACGTATGTATGTATGTATGTATGCATGCATGCATGCATGCATGCATGCATGTATGTATGTATGTAATACTATATAAATAAATGTAACATGTTGATACATATTGTATTACGTATGTGTCTGTGTGCGCGGGTGCGCGCGCAGACACACATAGCATCTAACAGCTGTAGTCAGTATTGATTGTGATTCTGCAGCTGAGACGCCTGGACCATCCTTATTGTTCTCTTTTGTTTGTATTTCTGATACTCTTTGCGAGATCTCAATCCGCAAAGCTTCTTCCACGGCCTGTCGCACCACTTGCTCAGGGCCAGCTTCATCCACCTCTTGGTCAGAATTCACCGATGCGATGATGCTGAGATTTGCTTCACGACAAGCTTCAGTCACCGCACTGGAAACCAGGTGTGCAAGATCGATCTGTCCGATGGCAACGGACTCAGTGACCACACTCCCGGTGTCTCGTCTTTCCAGGGTGGGCCCTGTGGCTGGCAATGGTGGCGATGGGGTCTGATTCTGTTGAACATTCTGTTGAATCTGTGTAGTCTCAGTTTGAGGCTGCTGAGGCTGCTGAGGCTGCTGTGGTTGCTGCGGTTGCTTCACAACGCCCTGACCAGGCTGACCTGGACCCTGACTGGGCTGGGGCTGAGTCTCCCAGGGGCTGCTTTGCACCTCAGGAGATGCTTGCATTCGCGCCAACACCTTATCAACAGAAGTGCTGGCCACAGCCAACGCATAAGCGTCACAGGCCTGAGACAAAGATGCACCACCCACTGAAACAGGTGTTCGGGATCCTACCTCTGTATCCGGAGCACCCGGCTTCATCAATGGCCCAACAGGGTGCACACTGGTGGCTTCAGCTTCAAGGGTGTGAACATCAGAGGCTGTACCTTCAGCAGCCACCGCATCTTCCATGGCATGAGTCACCAAGCCTTTGGCCAGCTCTGCACCAGCTCCGATCAACGTCTCATTGTCATGACAGCTGGCTGTGTCTTGTCGCTGCACTGCTGAAGTTGCGCCCTTCCGCCCATCTTGCTGGCTCGCTTGCGCCACCTGAGTCACCTGGGTGGTTGTTTGCTGTGCCCCCACATCCGGCTGACTAGCTGCAGCTTCAGCTGCAGCTTCAGTAAGAGCCTCCTGCAGAGCTTTGTTGGCCATGTCGGCGGCACAGGAATCGCAGGCCGCCGAATTGCTGGTGCCTCCAATGGACATCGGAGTGCCTGGTGTGCCTGGCTCCTTCGGCTCCTTGGGCCGCAAAGGCTGGGATGCGCTGGGAGGAACAGGTGGTTTTCCAGGCTGGGTGGTGGGCACAGTTGGTTCGGTGGGTTCGCTAGGCTTCGCTGCCTGACTTGGACTTGGCTCGCTTGGCTTGGTTGCTGGCGGCTGTGTGGGCTGAACAGGTTCTTGCTCCTTTGCTCTCTGCTGATTCTGCTCCGAAATCAGCGCATAGTCCAGCGACCTGTGAGCAATGTCTGCAGCGTATGAGTCACATGCCACTGAGTTGCTGGTGCCACCAACTGACTCTGGCGTACCAGGTCGAGCATTGACTTCTTCAACAACAGCTGGTACATCCGATGGTTTCTCAACTGGTTGGACCGCTGGTGCGTTGGAGGGCTTCTCTGCTGGCTGAACGGCTGGAATGTCTGCTGGCTTCTCTGCTGGCTGAACGGTTGGAACGTCTGCTGGCTTCTCTGCTGGTTGGACGGCTGGAACGTCTGCGGGCTTCTCTGCTGGTTGAGTGGCTGGAATGTCTGCCGGCTTCTCTGCTGGTTGAGTGGCTGGAACGTCTGCTGGCTTCTCTGCTGGTTGAGTGGCTGGAATGTCTGCTGGCTTCTCTGCTGGTTGGACGGCTGGAACGTCTGCCGGCTTCTCTACTGGTTGAGTGGCTGGAACGTCTGCTGGCTTCTCTGCTGGTTGGACGGCTGGAACGTCTGCTGGCTTCTCTGCTGGTTGAACGGCTGGAACATCTGCTTGCTTCTCGGCCGGTTTGATGACAGCTTCTTGAGTTGCTACCGCTGCACTAGCAAATTGCTCTGATTGAGCCTGTCCTTGCTGGCCGACATCTTGGGCTAAGGCATAATCCATGGTTCTGTGAGCAATGTCAGCTGCATAGGAATCGCACATGAGGGAGTTGCTGGCAGCCCCAACTGACACAGGAGTGCTGGGTCGTCGATCATCAGCTAAAACTCTCGGCTGCACTGGCTCACTGGGATGCTCAGGCCGCTCGGGGGCAGAAGGTGAAGCAAGATCCACCTCCCTGGGTTCGTGCACATTGGTGAAGACCTCCTCAGTAACTTCCAGAGCCACATCCGCATGCTCTGCGTGCTCTGCAGGCTCTGTGGGCTCTGCAGGCTCGGGCTCAGTGATCGCTGCAGAGATAGGCCTCATGACATCAGATGCTGCCTCCTCACTGGCCATTGCATAGTCCACCGCCTTGGTGGCAATGTCAGCTGCATAAGAAATGCACGCCAACGATTGGCTGGCAACACCCACTGACACAGGTGTTTCTTCCTCCGCTTCATGTTGTTGAACATGATCTGCTGTGTCATCTACTGGAAGCGCAGGGGCTGGAGGGCCTGCATGGTCCTGTGGCTGACTCTCTTCCTCTTGTTGTTTTGGCTTGGCTACATCTTCTGCTTCTTGCGCTTGTTGCTCATGCTCTTCTTGAGCCATGTCTGCAGCTAAGACGTTCTCCAAAGTTCTATTTGCAGCGTCTGCAGCATAGGAGTCGCACAGGAGTGAGTAGCTTGTGGCACCCACTGACACAGGGGTGCCAGGTTCCTGGGGTTCCTCTTCATGCTCCTGTACATCTTTTGCAGGTTCTGCCTTTCCGCCCTCTGCTGTTGCCACCTCTGTCACTTGTGGTTCCATCACATCTGCAGCAGCTTTCGCCTTCGCAGCAGCAGCTGCTGCTTCTTCTTCTCCAGCCCCCACAGCAGCTGCCTCTTCAATCTCAGGTGGCGTGGGTTGCGTTGGTTGGGTCGGTTGGGTGGGTTGTGTTGGTTGGGTGTCCAAATTGTCAACTGCCTCCTGTGTCATGTCTTGCGCCAACTCTGACACAAAGGGCTGCACAACGCCTTCCTCTGGGATGATCTCCGTTTCTGCAGCTGCTGCCTCAGTGGACCTGCCAATGGTGTCTTGGATGAAGCCCTCCAACTGCTGATGCTCAGGATGTGGCGAGCCAGCTTCTGACACCACCACCGAAGTGGGGCATTCACTGATCATGGCACGCGTCACAGCATGGGTGGCTAGGTCAGTGGCATGAATCACATAGGGAACATTTGACTGATGAGTATCAGTTTGAGCCACCGATCTGGGTGTCTCTGGCTCAACTGCGGGCTCGAGATCTTGCTTCACTGCCTGCAAAGGGGCAGCACGGATCAGGGCCTCTGTGGTGCTAGCTGCCACCTGTTGGGCAGCTGGAACTTGTTCCTCATGGAAGTCCTCAACAACCTCTGGTTCCTGCGGCGCTATGAAGATGCAGCTTGAAACTCTGGCAGCATATGGCAGCATGTCCAAGATCCAGTTAAGACAGTTATATAAGACATGGCAAAATTATGCAAACGCATCTTCCTGTTTGTGTGCCATGCAAAAGTGACATAAAAGATTGTGAAAGTGTAATGTGTCCAAAGACCAAAGGATTATTGGTTGTTCATCAGCTCATTTCCTACAGTAACCTGCCAAAGTTGTCCTAAGGGAAACATAGGGAAACCATCTAACGGCTGACACTGCTGACATCGGCATTTCCACAGCTTCCACCATCTTCCACCAGCTCCTCGTGCTGTTTGGCCTTTGCTTTGGCTGCCAAAATGGCCTGCCGAGCAGATTCTTGAGGGCCAGTCGCCTCAATGGCTGCGGAGGCTTTGGGGCTAAACACTTGGGAAAATTGGCAAAAGTGGGAAATTTTAAGAAAGGCACTCCAAATAATGTGGCCAAATCCCACAAGTGATGTAGAAGTTTTGAAGAGTGTGCATGCACTTGATATCACTGGACTTGACATCTTGGATCAGCATCTGAGGAGCAAACGACAAAATGGCTCACCATTTGGTTTGCAATGGTATCCATGTCAGACCTGGTCGTTAAAGCATCCGACTTGGGCGTCTCAAGCCACATATTCAGCAGCTGATTGGCTTGAGTTTCCATATGTCGGCTGGAATCTGCCGAGAGCACGGTGGCATCTGACAAGCTGCTCACTGGTCTACTCTGCTTCGGTCTTGGCGGGGCTCGCGGCAACTTCCGGGCATAGCAGCCCATGACCTCCACATACTGCAGCGGAACTGCCTCCAAATGCTTCCTGACAGCTGGAGGACCAAAGATCTCAGCCATCACGCTGCCAGGGCTCAACTTGATCTGCAGAGATGAGGCGTGCTTCTCAGCCAGCCCCAGGCTGCGCAAGGTGGACAGTAGCTGGTCGATAAAAATGGGATGGTTCAGGCTGTTGTAATCCAAGGTGTCAAAGACCAGCAGCATCAAATCCTCCATGGGAGCACCCACCTCTGACCTGAGGTGAGCTTAGATCTGCGGGTGGAAGGTACGAAGATTGCAAGTGCTGAGTGCCGGTCATGTCAATGGCGTCAGAAGCTTCAGATCCGGTCACCTGAAAGCAAAGAAGAGTCTGAGTAGAAATGCCTGAGAACATCTGTCACGAAATGTGCCGGCAGAGATCTTGCAATTTTACCTGGTGGTCAGATTACCATGCTGAGGCCGGGGCATGTGCACCCAGTATTTGTCCCAGCAAGTCGTTGGTGACGCGTTGAACTGCCACGTGACTCTCCTGATTCCGCAGCTACGCAACGCAGAACCTATGGGACCTATGGGACCTATGGGACAATTATGCTGGGGAATCTCACCCTTTCCATGGCAGGAACTTGCGGCCGAGGGGCCATGGCCTTACTCCCTGTCTCCTTAGAAAGGCAAACTGAGATTACATGACCATGGAAGTACATTCCTGCCTTACAGGATGACTGAAGAGCGAAGACTTCTGGGAAATTCTGAGATCCTGTCTGATGCTCTTGGCTCGCTGGGTACCTGCAAGAGACACCCCAACCGTATCCTCCTCCTCCTCCTCATCATCATCATCATCATCATCGTCATCGTCATCGTCATCGTCATCGTCGTCGTCGTCATCGTCATCGTCATCATCATCACCGTTATCTTGATCTGCATCGTGAACATCAACGGCAACATCACAGAAACCGGCAGTATCAAAGAACCCATCAGTGTTGGAGTAATACCTATTCTACCACTATAGATTTTCTTCCTGCAGCACCAGCAGCAACAAGAGAAGCAACGGAAAACAATGGAAAACAAAAACCGCAGGCAATGTTGTATGGTCAATGGCCAACCCACTTCAACAAGGAAATCTTTAAGCACCTACCACCTGAAGAAGTTCTTATGCGTCCGTGATAGTTTCGGCCTCTTTTCCTTGGGCTACAAGTAGGGCTCTCTGCGCCAGTTCCAATGCATTTCTCATGTTTTCCTGGCACCCGCATTCGAAATGGTGATGTATAATTTTGTTCAACTTGCTCTTTGTGGCTGTTCTAAGGGATCAAATTTGACGAGAAATTAAGATATTATAGATTGGAAATCAAGCATGGAAATCATCCGGAGCACAAAATCCTCCCAACAGTGATACACACTGGTACCGTCATCAACATCATCAACGGTATTCTGCAACAATGGGCTGTCCTCAGCAACCCGAATCCACTCGTCAGCTTCCACCATTGCTGTGGAGGCATCCTGATCCTGCATTTTTTGCTCCAATTGGGGATGACTGGGGAACCAATTTATCTATATATATATATATCTATGCAACATTATGCAACTAGAATATGAAGGTCCCAACTTTTTTTTGCTACAAAAACTCCGGCCAGTGCAGGCCGCAGAGTTAGCGAGCAAGGACTTGGCACCTTGACTTGGCAAAGATTTGGAACACCACTGGCCCACCCCAACAATGGGTGCTTTTGACCAATTGATCGTATGAAATACATGGAAATACAATGATTTATGATATTTTATGATCCTTGCATGGAAATAATTTGAAATGATATGATGTAACGAGACACATTCCTTATGAAACAAGGGTGGATTCCTTTGGCCCATCATGGTGTATTGACAAGTTATGTAGACATATATTAATATTATATGTACATACGTGTATATATATATATATACACCGTGATTAATATGTGTATTAGTGCATATATATATATATATATATTTATTTATTTATGTATTTATATATATATATGAGTATATATATATACTGTTACACCGTGCAAATGAATATTTATACAGCAAGCCATGGAAAATCATGGGATCCCAGTGGATCTCCTCTTTGGCCGCCGCCCTTCGGGCTTCTTCCTGGATCAGATCTGCCTGCGTCAGCTGGGTAAACATGACATGATTGGATCACAGAATGTCACTGATCTGTAACCCAAAAAAACACCCATAAACATGGTTCACTTATGTTCACAAAAGCATTGGTTCCAAAACCATCCCGATTTCTTCCCCATGAACAATCATTATAGTAAATTGTAGTCTAGTAATATAATATAATATAGGATTCTGATGGATGTGCCAATTTTTTAGGACACCTTGCCACATGACATCTCCAGAACTCAAGGTTTTCACATGGCTTCAGAAAATTGCAGGATGATGCAAGATGTTGTTGCAGCATGTTGCATGTTGCAAGCCTGCATTCTGGCCCGTCTGCGCACGGTCGCATCCTCATCATCCTCCGTTGCCTGATGGCTGATGGCCATGGATGGCCATGGATGGCCATGGATGGCCATGGATGGCCATGGATGGCCAAAGGCTAAAGCGGCTAAAGCGGCTAAAGCGGCTAAAGGAAGGCCCAACTGAAAAAGAAATCAGCCGACATCCGGGCCATCCGGGCCATCCCCATCCCTGAGATCCCAACCACACTGGAACCAATGATACGACGCAGCACATCATTGGAAAGATTCTCTGCGACGGCATCGGAGAAATTTGTGGCCTTGGAAGTTTCGTGAAAGGGTATGGGATTATATGGGATGGTATTGGACAACAGGAATGTCTCTCTGATGCCAAAGATTGCTCAAGCAAATGCAACTCATGATGGAACCATTGGCTCTTAACACAAGACTCGACCGCACAGAAGCTTCAAAATCTGCAGGTGAGGATCTTGAACACTTATAACTGTCCAGTCCTTGGTTGCATTGGTTGAACAAGTTGCAGAGTGCTGAGGTTCTCCAATGCCATGAAAGGATAAGCCCCCCGCATCATCTCCCTGGAAAGGCTGGTGAATGGGATGGCATTTGCAATCACCATGCAATCAGGCACGGCTCCCAACGTTCACAGTGATAGCAATCTGTCCCACAAGGGCAAGCAGGCCTTGTCAGTCCGCACAGGTTGGCGAGATTTCTCGGCAGCTGCCTCACACAATCTCACACATGTCTTCGGGACGACGATTAACCACCAATGAGCTATGGTTCCCTCATGATACCCATGCCTATGCAGTGTCCTGTCCAGGTTTCAAAAGAATGCCATAAAGAATCCTTCCTCACTCAAGAATGCCTGGTTGTTGACCTTTCCAGCATCTATCAATACAATCTTGGTCCGCTTGGGTTGCTAATTTGCCAGGACTTTTGTCACTTGCCTTCTTCTTTGCTTCCTCTGCTGCTGTGATAGATTCTGAGAAGATGTCCGCCACCAGACTCACAGCAGCATCATTGAAAACATCACGATAAATCTCGCTTTGGGTTGCCGAAAGTCGTCCCATGCTTCTGGATGTCAACTCTTCGCCTTGGGTTGCAATGATTGTGCTTCGATTTTGCTCCAAGGGTAGTTGAGGTACGTCAGGCACTTCTCGTCTGGCAGCTTCCAGGTCTTGCCTGGCCTGTTGACGCATTGCCTCAGCCTGTCGATGAGCTTCTTCTGCCTCTTTTTTGATCTTCTCAGCTTGAATTCGAAGCTCTTCAGCTTTCCGGTTTTCTTCCGCCACCTTTTCCCTTGCCACATGGAGTCGGGCAGACTCCAGCTCTTGCTGGGCCTGTCTTTTACACCTTCGAGCTTTCCGATGGGCATCCTGCGCCAGTTCTAACTCCCTTTCTGCCTTCTGCCTGATGGCGCGGATCGCATCCAGTTCTTCCGACTCGGGCGCTGTAGTGCTGCCCCGAGCAGCTTCAACCACTTGCTTCGCAACTTCAAGGTCCTGGCCGCAGCTCGTCGTACTCGCCATCGTCAAACCAACCGTTAACCGTTAAGCGCCAAAGAGAGTGTTTTAGCGTACACTGTTCGGAAAATTTACATGATGCATGTTGCTAGCACTTACATAACTTTTTGATACTTTTTGGAGAGGCACACCCAGAAGAGCAGAGGAACACCATTCTGTTCAATCTCCATGGCAACTCGTGACATCTCACGGCCATTTTGTATGCACCGCACCTTCTGAGCTTGTTGGAGCTGCTCTTCTAACCGCTGGAGGTCTGGGGATCGCCACTCTTCACCCGCACGCGCTGCAGCTTCGGCGGCTTTCTGCTGAGCTTCCTCAGCCTCTGCCAGCTCTTTCTCCGCCTGCTTACGGAGATCCTGCAACGAGAATGGGGCAGGGACCAGTATGCCATAGAGTATTAGAGCAGTGAGATATAGTGAGATGCACGGGGCCTTACGAAGCCGTATGCCCAAAAACAAGGAAAAAGCGGAGACTACAGGACAATGACAGTGATCATATGTGATCATGCTGGTGAAAGCCTGAAGCTTCTACACATTCTACACAGTTCATGCACGTTTTCACCCCTTTCTTCGCCCGTCCTCAACTTTTTGCAGCTCTTCGGTCTTCCACTCCTCTCCGGCTCGTCGCGCAGCTTCCGCTGCCTTCTTCTGAGCTTCTTCGGCTTCGGCCAACTCCTTCTCAGCCTTGGGCAATCCCCTAAACTAAAGACAAATCCAGGAACATCCAGGAACAGTAGGCAATGCCCCCACCAGAGATACGTGCTGAATCTGCTTCTGTAGTTGCACAAATTTCACTGTCTTGACACAACTGAAGACGATGGAGTGCCAAAACTCTGGTGAAGCAATCTCCTCTGACTCATAAAGTCATAAAGCATCACAAAATAAACTGAAGCGTCAGACCAGGTGCAAAACATTAAAGTGTTGGAAATGAACCATAGACAGCAACTTAAAACATCTGCAAACTATATGAATGCTCAGCAAGACATGTCAAACCACTTAAGGGTCGCCTTCAATGCAACTGCACGCAAACAAGTTGCCGCTTTTCGAAGCTCGGAAATTTTGCGCATCTCTTCTGCCTTCCACTCATCCCCTGCTTTTTGTGCAGCTTCAATGACTTTTCTTTGCGCTTCCTACAGGGCTTGGTGATAGGTGACGCTCCAATGACCCTACCAAGAATAAGGGATTCATCATCAATATTTCGATGCACGGGTCATGAAAACTTTCAAATGTTCAAAATCTTTATCAAACATCAAGAAAAACATCTTTACAATTCTTGGCAGGCCATTGACTTTTTTACCCCAAAAAAATCCCTCAACTGCCCTGTCCTCAGCATCGCGCATCTCCTTTTGCGCTCTCTCCTGCAGTTCATGCGCGATGCGCGCTGCCTCGGAATCCTGCATCTCGCTCCGCGCCTATCAGAGATGAATTGCGGATCTTTCTGGTGGTCAGTTGGGCTCGATATCCCACAGAATTGCCATCTTATGCCATAGTTGAACCCTGTTGAATGGGGAAAATGACTGGAAATTATGGAATTTGGGGGGGCAATGGAGGTCTCATATTCTGAGATACACTAACATTTACGGGATTCAAATGATTCAAAGGGAATTTGCGGCTGGCTATCACTTCATGAAGAGATGCAGTGATAGGCGTCTTCCTGACTGGCAGGTCGACTGCTGTAATGTGAACATGGGATTTGCGCTTTAACACCTCCTATCAGCAGCTGTTTTGCTTTGGGGAGCTATAAACTTACGTTTTCTCATCAAAATCGGATGGTTCCTATAGATTTCCCTGTGGAGCGATTCAGGATCCTAGCTGCATCTAGCTGCACATCCTGGAGATTCTTGCAAACCAAAGCCCACCTGTCTTCGGATCTCTTCCAGAACTTCTTCGTCCTTGCTCTCAACATGGATCAAACTGGACAGACAGCATATCGCATGTCTCCAGGTTTCCAGAGTGATTGCATCTTGGTTTTTCCTAGATGACATCATCTGAATGATCCAATTCAGACCTAGGTTTTTGCTAGCAATAAATCTCCACCTTAAGCTTGCAATTGCACCGTCACCTGCCTATCTAGCATACCTTTCCACCATCAAAGGTGCCACCTTCAAGACCCTCATATGCTCGCCACCGAGCATCCAAGGCTTTACGTTTTTCTTCCAATTCCTTTCGCACTTGTTCCCTCCGCTCTTCGGCCCTCTTCACTTCAGCTGCAGTCAACTCACCTACCTCCTTCGCCTGTTGAAGCTGGGAGCCTTCACTTGCTACATAGTAGTGATATGTAGTGATGATGCCAGTACCCGTACTCAAACAAATGTCTATCAAAGGTTCGGGAAATCTTGTCAGGTACACTTGCAATACAATAGGTACAAGGTCCGCCTACAGGCACGACATTTTCTCCAAAGTTTTCGCAGTCAAAGGCAATGGCTGTACCTACGAAATCCTAAAATCAATTCTCAGATCTCCTTTTATAAATGTTGTGCTAAAGAGTGATACACCAACCAGCACTATGAAATGGTGGGCTTTGGGATTCCAAAGTGTGCACCATACTGCGCTATATATTATATATATATACTCTATACGTGATATACAAGTATCTAATTCTTTATATGCAGGTATCGATGGTAAAGTCATCAAACATGTTTGCAAAATCTACATATGTCTATCCAAGCTGTGACAAATAAGACAATTCTCCCCGGTCGCCTCATCCAGTTGCTTTTGTGCCAAGCGCCGCAATTCTTCAATGTCCTTCCAGGGTCCATGGTTTCGGCCTCAAGTTTTTCTCACAAGAACAAGCCAACGCACCCGAAACGGTCCGGTAATTGCGAACTCCAGGTTTTGAAGCACTTGATGTCAAGATATTTCAACTCCTACCCCTGACTCTCTCTCTCTCTCTCTCAGCATTTGTGTCCTCACATTCGGATCTCAACCCCCCCCCCAGCTGATCATCTTTTCCCAGGCGGCAGAGCACCCATTGTCCTTGAGCCGTTCCGCACGCCAGGCTTCACCGGCCTTCTCGATCTCTTCGCGGGTGCGACGCTGTGCCTGTTCTGCCTCCGACAGTTCCCTCTGCGCCTGAGGGAATGCCAGACCAACAGTTACCATCAGTTCCCAAGGGTCAGCTGAAGGTACCATTTGCATTTGTAATTATCATAATCATACATACATATCATATACATATCATTACGTGTATATATATATATACACCTGCATGATGTATGCTGTGGATATTAAATGGAAAAGCCCACCATGCTCTGTGTAGTTCATAGAAGTTTCAGGAATGAGGAACTACGCATCAACGGAATCCGATATTCTATTATGTATCCGCCATGATCATTTGGATAGTATGGGGATATTATGGGGAAAAACAAAGAAGAGTTATATAAATGGATTTGAATGGGAACAAAACCACCCAAGCACCCGATTTGGGGTGGGACATACCAAACAAAACGCAACTATACAATTGACATCGAAAGCATGTGTCCTCAAGGCTGGCTTTTTCTATCACAACCTCACAAGACCACAAACAGAATTTGAACCAAACATGTTGACACCCGTTGGAATTGAGCCTGCGTTGGTTCTACCTCCTGAAAATCTTTGAGCCAAGATGCCTGCAGTCGCAGTTGCTCCAACTTCTGAAGTTCGTCGTTTCTCCAGCGTTCCCCCGCTTGTTTGGCTTTCTCTTCAGCACTTCGGTGGTTGCGTTCTGCAGCATCCAACTCTTGTTGGGCTTGATGACCTCGACACGGCTGAATCATATGGAAAATCATGGAAACCCACCACCGGTGATCATCTTTGACGCAGTTTTGTATGCAACATTAAGTGACCACCCATGGCCATGGCCACCCGTTCTTTCAACTCCAACCTTTGGATGTTAATCGTTTCGCATTCCCCCAACACTCCTAGAGACTCACTGTTCGGTGCCAAGCAGCGTAACTCTTCGATCTTTCTCATTTCCTCCGCCAGCCATTCCTTCCCGGAACCCTCAACAAACTCGTTGCCCGGCGGCAGGCGAAGAGTATCTGCATGAGCTGGTGTGTCGGCCTGCAAGCGGAACACATGCAGGTGCAGCCTCACTACACCATGTTTCTTGACCTCTTCACCCTAGCTTTTATTCATTTTTATTCATATGTCTCTCATTGTCTCTCCAGTTTTAGGGAACAGGATGGAATGGTCAAGAGTGGTAAATCTATCTGCATCCAAGCCGCTGGAGTTTCACCGAAGAGCAGCATGGCAGGATCCATAGGTTCGTCCATGATGGAAATGATGGGGTCCAACCTGGGCACATGCGTTTGGAGATGCTGTAGGTGCAAGAAATAGTGATAGATGTGCATTCCAATCATTCCAACTGCGTGCAAAGAATCGAAAATGTACTGAACTAAATTGTGCATAATTAATTGTCATTCATTGCAATGGCATAATTGTGTATAATATAACATGATGATAATTGTAGGTTGCAGAAGTGCGCCCACTGGGTGAATACCTGACATAGAGATGTTCACGTCACTGTCTACAATGCGTGCGAGTATGAGGCGAATCTTCTGAGCATACCATCAAATCATATAATCATATCATATATATAATTATATATGTATATATTCATATATAATCATATTCATTCACTATTCTACCAGTGTTCAATCAATGATGCCTGAATAATATGTCTGATCTGTTGCCTGCATCATCCTGCATCTGTGCATCGGTAAGAGCTGACATGAGCTGACTACAAAATCTACAAAGCTGGCCAGGTGACATCATGGAATCAATCATACCTGCTGCGATTTCGCCAATGGCTTCACCAGGGCTGGCAGAAGACCGTGCGCTGGGAACAATGCTTTCTCCTGAGCTGCATGACGTGTGGCTGTAGGGCTGGCATGATAAGTCATCAACCAGATCTTCTTGCACAAGTGGGGCAGCTAAAGCCCTTACTTACAGTAAATTCCTCGTGTTTCCACTTGGGGCTTTGGCTACAGTAGTGAGACCTTCAACGTAGATTGGGGGGCCACTTCAAAGCGCCAGTTCCCTTCTTGCAATCCAAAAACGGCCTTGAGTCTCTGCAATCAGATCATCCACGAGACTTGCAGCCGCAACGCCTGGCCCCAGGTGGTGACAAAGACTCCAACCCTCTAACCGCCTGATGGTTGGAACATGTTGGAACGCCTTTGTATGCCAAGTCATCTCAGAATCTACGCAACCAGAATTCAACACATAGCCCAACCTGCAGGCGACAGGGGATCATCAGCGATTTCGCTTTCCCGGTCTGGTTTTGGGCTGGCAACTTCTCTCAGCATATCCTTCACGATGTTCTTGCCGATTTCACCTTGGCATGTTCTGCGCAAGCACCAATCACATCACACGCTCAAGCAGCACCATAGCTGAACCGCATCCCAGATCCGCCCTACCAATCCTACCAAAAGCATCCAAAAGCGATACTACTAGTCCATACTAGTCCTATTCTAGTCCTATAGAAACATCAAAACAGGGCCCCAGTGATGCCCCAAGCATGATTTCGTTGAGTCCAAGATAGTCCAAGAAACCTTCCAGTATCTCACTGTGAGGTGACGCGAGAACCGTCTGCGCTTCGTCTCCCTTTGGACTTGGAGGCGCTTTGGGTTTTGGTCTCACCACCACTTCCTGACCATCCCCTGTCCTGGCTTTCACAGTCCCAAGAGAAGGTTTCTTCCGACTCTCATGCGCTCGCATGTTGGCAGGAACCGGATCTGCCCGAGAAACCTGGAACTCACGTCTCTCGACATCGTCATTGAAACGGATGGAGCTTCTGCGGGTGCTATCTCCACAGGCCTCCATGGGATCATTGGGCAAACGTCTCGGAATTCGAATCGCAGGGACCTTTCCTGACTCCATCTGTGATGGCCTGGTCTTCAAGATCGGCTTCAAGGTCTTTGCCGGGTCACGGGTGCCCTGGCTGGGCTGAACTTTCACCGGATCTTTCACGGTGGGCCGCATGGGGATGTCAGTTAGACCAATGGCATCCACCACCTGCGTTCCACCACTGCGCGGGGAGACAATGCTGCTCTTGGGGAGTGGCCCTTTCCTGCGGTCTGCATCTGCAAAGTGCCCCAAGAGGTTGAACCATTCGTCCCTCTGTTCCTCAGAGCCAGCAGCCAAAAACAACTCCTTCCCACCAGTGACCAACGTAAACGCGAAGGGTCGGGCAGCTTCTGAGTCATCCAGTTCACGAAAGGAGCCACCCACTTCGATGGGATGAGTGGCCGAGGCTGTGTTTCTGGGCGCCTTCATCTTGACTTTATCACCTTCTCTCGTGACACTTGCTGGCTCCGTGCTGATGCAGAAGCTTCCTTTTCCTGTCAGCCAGCAGCGTCGCAAACGCCAATGTTCAGCACCTCAGTGATGTGCAAATCACAACCACGCAGAGCCACAAGGGCAGGTATTGTTCAGGTCACACAACGGCCGAGGCACTCTGTGGATCTCCATCTCGCAGAAGGACCCATAGTGCACCACTGCCACACAGCTGGCTCTCTGCTGGTGGTGGTGCCGGGCGATTTGACCTTGGAGATATTTGGAGATGCCGGTGGCACCGGTGGTTGTGAGATGTCATCAGGAGAACCACGAAATACCACGAATAAAACCATGGTTGCCATGGTGGTGGGGCCACGGTCTGTTTTGCCAGTCGCACACTGCAATTTCCGAGCCTCCCGACACAACATGATTCATCATGTACTCATAGGGGTCTTCTGGGAGGAGCGTGCATACGACACTCAGCATTTCCTGGCAACATGGTGTGCATCAATCGATCCGAGCAAAGTTTCAGCATGTTGCGGCGTCATCTGTCCTGCATGAACAGCTCGATCTGATGGTTGTCCTGCCAGATTCCGCAACTGTGCAACTTCGCTCAGAAGAGCCCGTTTGGTCGTACTGAGAACACACTCATGCGCTTCAAAATCATCACGGGAACGGCCACAAACCCGTGGATCTCAAACTCCCAACAGCATGACTTAGAGATTGCAAAATTGTGCCAAATTGCATCAGATTTGCATCAGCAACATCGGCACACAATCTGACTGCGCCTGGTAGTCTTGAAGAGTCTGAGCCGCACTGCGAGGCCTAAATCCATCATGGCAGACATCAGCCGAGCTAGCTCCATGGTCAAGCTGTGGCCAATCCACCTGTCTCCACCTGTCTCCACCTGTCTCCACCTGTCTCCACCTGTCTCCACCTGTCTCCACCTGTCTCCACCTGTCTCCACCTGTCTCCACCTGTCTCCATCTTCATGACTCTTATTTTTGCTGGGATGTTTGATGTTTGGCAAATTTGGTCGTTCTATGATGTGTCCATCTTCATTCCCTGAGTCTGAATAGCACTACACCGCTGGGCTTACAAACGTGAGCTTGTCCGAGTACTCCATGGCCATTGCGAGGTGGTCCTCAAGCCACAGCCAGCCTTAGCCGAACGGCCTGTGATATCACTGATATCCAATGGGATCTCAATGCAAGCCTCTATCGAATCGTGTCTGGCATTGTCTGGCTATTGCATGTGGCTATTGCCGGCACTATGCATGCTACCTCCATGAACTGATAATGTGCCATGGATTGCCATGTGCCAACGAAATGTTCAGACCTTGGTTCTGCGGCTGAGGCAGACACTGGATTCCGACGGGGACAGCTCTGCCAAACACTGTGCCCAGATTCTGTGTGAAACCCGGTAAGTTTCTGCAATGTTCTGGTTGCTGCGCATGTGCCAGTGACCTGCTAGTCTGCTAGTAGCTTCAATGTGACTGTAACCTGCTGTTGCTTCATGGTTGGACTCTGGTTTCGCTTCCGAGGTCTGCACATTGGAAGAGTGTAAGCCGAAGAGTGTGAGAAACATTAAGAAACAAAATAGAAACAAGATACTAAACAAGATACTAAACAAGACGTACAAGTTTTGCAAGCACCTTGTGCTGAGGACCAAAGAGGCGAGGCAAATGAAATGTGTGCCCTAGCAGAGCACGCATGATGTACAGGTCAAATTGGTCAAATTAGTAGCAATCATGCCATTCTCTTTAAGAGAATCTAGAGCCCCATTTTTCGTTACACTCCCTACTACCAATCTCAGGTCTTGAAGGTGATCAAGTATCACCGTGAAAGAAAAACCTCAGCAGTACCCATGATATCCAATGATTATGTCATGATTATGTATTGCTGCATGAACTTTCTGTTGCTTTTGAGGTATGAACATCAAAGGCCGCTATTTTGCTCAAAAGCAATGCTTATTGCACCTTCTCTTTGAGGCGTGTCGTTCCGGTAAGTGCGGAGGCGAGAGGTCGCGAACCAAAGGAATGCTCTGCCGTGGCAAGTGTTGCTTGTAGAATAATATCTATAATAAGATCTATCTATACATATATATATATATATTATATAATGGACATAGATGGTTTGCGGGCTACTCCCAAATCACACACCTGTAGGCCCTAAAGTCACTGGCTGTGGCTTTGCCGACTAGCCACAAAAACATTGACCGAAATACGTGCTCGCAAGAAAGTACATTCAGTGTCAAATATACTGGTGGACTCTTAGCTACAGCGCTGCTCAGTAAATTCTGTTTTGTTCATGTTTGTTCAAATGGTATGGGAATGTAAAGCACCCACATGATCTCATTGCTAGCTTGGGTCCATTTGACACTGCTCACTGGACAAAACTCAGACTTGCCAACGCTGGGGCTTGCGTCGAGCCTGCGAGACTGACTGTACTTCTATTCCGTCCACATCCCACACTCCCCCCACAGTACGGAGTCATGGACAAATGTGTTCTTCAATCCATGTGCCAGAGGGTTCCTGATCTTGAGACGCCCCATTGCCAAACATCAATGCAATCACCTTCTCTCCTCAACCTTTGATTGGCACAGGATCCGTCATGCTAAGCTTTCCGCACTGAAGCCAGAACTTGCAGCTCGCGCACGCCTGCCAAAGCAAACAATGATTCGACGTACTAAGGCCTAAGATGATGATGTAAAAGCATAAAGAATGCGGAAAAAAAACATCTTGGAGAAAGAACTCCTCCATGCTCTTGAAGGGTTCAGAACTCCCCCGCCGCCCCGCCATTGTTATTCATGACTAATGGGTCAACTTGCGATATTCCATAGATATCATGCACGCTTCCCTCACCAACATCACCCAACCCCAGGGGACCAGGAAATCCCCGACCTCAACCCGGCCAGCTCCAGTTTCAGGTCCATGTCTCGGAAAGCGCAGCACCACGAAGCCATGATTTGCTGAGGAACAAAAAATGAGGCCCTCGCTGCCGTTGGTTGCTTTCACCTTCGGCCGCCTTGGGTAATGGTATGTCATGGTTCAACCCCCATTGTTTGTGGCAGTCTGTCCTTTATCACGCTAGATTTATTATGATTTATTGGTACGGTATAGGCATGATATTACTCTCCATCACCATCAAACACCAGTAGGATAGCTGGATATTACATGATATTACTATTACACTAATCACCTCGGATTGCCAAAAACCAGCAGCCCTGAGATTCCAGCGGGGTCTGGCAGCTTGTAGCTCCTGACACAGGTCTGGATGTCAAGGGGTTGCAGGGGGTTCTGCGTCTGCTACTAGAGCAATTTTTTGCACGTCTGTCGGTCATCATATTCGCGCCGCCAATGGTCTCATGTTCAAACGAGCTGCCAATATTGCCAGCTAAGTCGCTTCCAAGTACAGTAACAGGGGTGTGATCTTTATTAAAATGTTCAATCATGTTCAACTGCATTTTTTGGGGCAACTGAGTACTACAACATGATGAGACCATCACGCCTCCTCCGGAGCTCGTTGAAATCTTCTGCCTACCTCAGCTGGTAGAAGGAAATGATACGTGCTCGTTGGCATAGTCTCCGTTCCACTGCAGTTCTGCATGATTTCTTTTCTCCAACGTCTGCATCTCAATCTTAAGCTTAACTTAAGCTCGATTCAAAAATCTGGACAATGTGGACTCTACGAAATCTGCTGCCTATGGCTACCTCTGTTGGGCATGCCCTAGCGGCAGGGTCGGAAGCTGGATGAACGCTATATCTATAGTTATCCACGCACTCTTCTTCAGCAAAATATCTGAAGTGTCCATAAAGTTTCGCCGAACCCAAGTGTTCAATCCCTGTCCGCCAAGCACAAAAGCAATTTGAGTCTGATTCCCACCTCTGATCAGTCCTCTCACACTACATTTATTGCCACCAGCACCAGTCTCCAAGTCCAGATGCAAGGATGCTTTCCCAGCAAGCGAAGCAAGCGCCCCTGTCTCTCCGAAAGGGTATAGTGTTAGCCAAACGTTGATGCCCAACTGGGAGAGCGGCAATGGGTTGCTGGTATGCTTCTCACCCGCTTTAAAGGCAGTGAAATCACAGTCAGACAAATCCCATGTAAATGACATCTGGCAGCTCTTTTCCTCCAGGAGTGCGCACTTTTCCTCTAGGGTTTTGTTCTTTTGTTTCATTTCCTCTAGAGTTTTGTTCTTGCCTTTCATTGCCACTACAAGCTGTATGAGACCATCTGAAGCATAAGCATTGTGGGGATCCAACGAAAAGGCCCGGAGAAAAGCCTCTTGGGATCTTTCCTCTGATCCCATAGTCGAGAACAATTCTGCTGCTTTGACAACAAGTCGGGATCCATCCGCCTGCCTCTTCATGCCAATCTGCTCTCCGAGAAAGAGAAGTTCATCAGCAGACAGTTCTTGGAGCTGGTCATTTGACAAGGTCAGTTTTGGAATCAGGTTTTCTGGGATTTCCTGCTTGTCTACGCAAAGGAGTTTGAGAAACAATCGCTCACAAACAACAGTGGCCTCGCTACAAGCGAGCAAAAGTTGATGAAGGTGCTTCAAAATGTCTGCCCTGAGATGTCGATTCGCGGGGTTCATTTTGTAGGCTTCTTCCAGCAGGAGGATTCTCCGAAGATTGTCATCAGAGGCGCGCATCGCCAGCTCCATGACGATTGATGCGCATTCTTCGGGTGGCCAAGTTGAAGCTGCTGGAATGCACATATCATGCTTGAAAAAGTCTTTGGCAGTGCTTTCTGCAACGTCCCTGCTATACAAATATCTGTAGCCATAATTGAGCAACTGGTCCCCAACCATCTGCAGGTTCACATCCAGCCTTTGAATACAGGATACAAGAAGCACAGCTGCAGCTTTCGCCCAAGGCTCCTCGTAGGCATGTTGAAGCATCAACACCCACAGTTCTTCTAGTGGCGCATCATTTCCGACATACCTGGCGCGCCTTGCAAGCCTGCGAGCAAGCTCCAAGTCAATGGCGTCTTTGTGCTCGTATAGGTTCACGTTGGTGTCTCGCAATCTAGTGACCATGTCATCTTCCAGCTTCTCGAGCAAGCACCGAACTTCATGCTCTTGAATCTCGCTCAAAAAGCCTCGAACATGATTTGCACCCTCGATTTCAAAGAGCAGGACAGCAGTCTCGAAGATGACCGCATCTCTGCTGGAACCAAGCAACTTCACCCGGACCAACAGCAGCACCACCAGTTTCCTACGAGCTGATGTATCCGGCAAAAGGGGGCGCACAAATAGCTCTGCCTTGTCCAACAATTTCAAGGCTTCATCATTGCTGGCGCTGCTCAGCAATTTGTGTTTCATGGAGATTACTTTTTGGACCACCGCCTCCTTATATTCAACTACAGCCGACTTCTTATCCTGATTGGGATACAGGGCAAGGCTCTGGATTGGCTGTTTCGTCAGTGGACTCTCTTGCTTGACTTCCAAGCTGCGCTTTATCAAGGACCTCTCATAGGTGCGGCCATCTTCAGCAATCACTGGATCCTCCATGAGTTCCCGAGAGATTGGACAGCACAACTCCTCAGGATACCTCAGCAGATCCTTTACCTCTGACATTAAGTTCTTCTCATCAGTTGCTGATGTGCTCCAAATACTGTCCTTGGCAGACGCGCCTTGCTGCAGTATTTGCACAACTGACGCACCTTGTTGCAGTATTTGCACAACTGTGTCCCCTTTGATTTGGAGCACCTTTGAGATCGCCTCAACCGACATGCCCTGTCGACTCATGCGCAGAATGAGCTTCTCATCTTGCGGACTGGCTACTTCGGCCTCCTTGATGACCCACTTGGGAGGCATCAGCACCGAGTGGGCGGGAAGGACACCAGAAAGGTCCCTGAGCCAGCTTCTGGTCTGTTGAGACACAGCTTGAAGTGAAGTGGCTGCGTGTTGTCCACCCCAGGCTGCACCCCTGCTGTCCACAACCTGCCCACCTCCCACGCAAACTCAAGCTTTAAGACAAGACCTCAAACCCAAACCCTCAGGACCAGGCTCACCGCCCTCTGGGAGGGCAGGCTGAAGCGTCGTGGGGTCACACGGCTCCTGCCAAGTGGCTGATGCTGACCCCATCTGACCCCATCTGACCCCATCTGACCCCATCTGACCCCATCTGACCCCATCTGACCCCATCTGACCCCATCTCTCCCCAAATTCCCAAGATTTCCCAAGCCTCACATCCCAGCTACTGAGGTCACAGCTCTTCAATGCCATGTAGACAATCATCCGACCGGCGCGTGGCTGCCTAGGCCAAGAACCCTGGCAGCTGTCGATGATAAGATCATCGGTGATGATATGGGGTGTCTCCTGCCTCTACTTCAATACTTGATGTATCTTGATGTTGTCAGCAAAATTTGAGGCAGGG